GTGCCACCAGGGAGGCCCTGATTATCCATTTGTGGTGGCAATAAGTCCCTGGCAGGGCCTTAGATGAACGAATACAAGGAAGTAGAGTCATAGCTAAATCAATCTGAATCTAAACAACAGGTTTTAGGAGTGGGGATAAAACAGTCAAGAGAATAGAAGGGAGAAAGATTACAGAGAGAGAAATAAGATTCCACAAACTCTGTTTGGAAGTCATTTTGGGGGGAACCAAAGAAAAGAGGCTGAATTCCAGGACTCAGTTGACCAGAGCAGAGAAAAGACAACAGTGGAAGGGAACCCCAAGAGACACGTGAGTCAACAGGGCAGGAATTTGAAACTAGAAGTGACTATGAGTCTGTAAGATTCATTAGTAAAGCTGGGAAATGGTTCGACTTCTCATGGAGTTTGGGAAGAAGTCTCGAGAAAATTTTAGTTAACTCAGAAATTGCTGTTACCTCAACTTTTGTCTCTGGATACCTTAAAAGGCTTAGGGTAAGTGATTCCTAAACCCTCTCTTCCTTCCAACAAACCAGTCTCTTGTATGATCTTAAAACCCAGAATTATAAAACAAAACAAAAGAAAGAAAGTAAATAAAGCCTCTTTCAGTCGTTTTAATAATAGATATTTTAACTGGGAAGACTGAGCTAACTCCAGTTCCAATTCAGGTGCCAAATCTGAGCAGGTACAACACCAGACAGAACAACCCGTTTCAAATCTGTGCCCAAAAGGTTACCCCATGAGGCAGCAAGGTCAGGACACCAATGGACAACCAATGGACAACCTGAAAATATGGCAGGTTAGTCAAAATGCTCATAACCTGACAGTGAGTTATTTTTTCTTCCCCCCCCCCCAGGGCTTAATATATTAGGTAATACATTAATACACAAAGATAATTTTTGTACTTGAAAGATATAGGTGGTTATTGTGCATGTTTTATTAATTAGGGGATTGCAATATAAGCTTGCTCGGCACCAGCTGAGCAGGATTCTGGGTGAGGAATAACAATTTCCTCTGGTTGGTCTGGGTTCACTGGACACCATTGTCTTCACGTACAATGGGTTTATTGCAAAATGGTTACAAAAGCACTTTTAGAAAGAGTTCAGTGTGTGTGTGTTTTTTTTTTTTTAAGATTTTATTTATTTATACAAGCACTGGGTACAGTGAGAAGTGCGGGAGAATGAGAGAATTCACCAGAGCCAGAGCTGGGAACAGAACAGGCAGACTGACAAAACACACTGCTGAGGGGAGCAGCGGGGGCGGCAGGAGAGGTCTTTCGCGCCATGTGGGACCCTCGCCTGCTGCCGGGAATCCAATCCAAGCTGCAGAGGCTGCTCAACCACTGTGCCACCTGGGGAGGCCCTCAGTGTGTTTTTCTATCTCTGTGAAAATGTGGGTGAAACTATAGGAGTGGTGGCAGAGTCCCCTGGAAGGAGCAAGAAGGATATTAACATTGGCTGTCTTCTTACTATGAGCCTACCAGGATTCCTTACCTACTGCATCTGCACTTTCCAAAAGATAAAGCTGCAGGGACAACCTTTTGGGAGTGATGTAATGACCTCTTAAAAGAATTATTAAGTTCTATAACTTAATAGGAAGGGTTTACAATGGTATGCATTTGTCAGTGGCAACAGATGGTACACTTAAGATTGGGTATTTCATTCTTTTAAAATGATCTCTAAAAAAAAAAAGAACCATAGAGACATTGAATTTTTTTTTAGTAATATAGATGCTAGAGTGCTTAATTGTGAGATGTTCTTATTTTTTTTTTTTGTGGGACCCTCGCCGGCGGCTGGGGAACAAACCAGTGCTGCAGAGGCCCAGCGCTCAACCGCTGCGCCACCAGGGGAGGCCCTGAGATGTTCTTATGTCTAACACTTACTTTGAAATGCATCCAAGAACAAAAATGAATGGATGGATGGACAGAGGGCTGGTTAGAGGGCTAGATATGTGATAAAGCAGCTGTTGCAAAATGTGAATTATAGAATCTAGGTGGTAGATACTTGGGTGTTCATTGTGTGATTTTGCCAACTTTTCTGTATGTTTTAAGGTTTTCATAATTAATTAAGCATGAAAAAGAAAGTGTTCTGACAGCTCATATTAATTTGGTTCCTTCAGAAAACCCAGACATCTGAGTGCTTTGGGATAAATGACAGTCAGGACAGCGTTTTAGGCCCTTTTGAAAATAAAGAGGCATAGCAGCTACTTAGAGTTGAAATGTCATTTCTAACATGTAGTGCATTTCTCTTTCAAGCACTGTAAAATGCTTTCCAGGCCACATATTGGGGCCCTCAATTAGGTCCTCTCAGAAGAGGCCACTTCCATTCAGGAAGTACGTTCCTGCCGGCAGGCCGGGTGCTGTGCTCTCTGACCGTCCTGTGGCTCCATTTCATGGATTTAATACCATCCCTAGGCTGACATCTCCCAAACCAGCAGCTCTGTCTAGCCTGACCTTCTCTTCTCCTCCCCTCCCCTCCCCTCCCCCCCCTCCCCTCCCCTCCCCTCCCCTCCCCTCCCCTCCCCTCTCCCCCCCCCCCCCTCCCTCCCCTCCCTTCCCCTCCCCCCCTCTCCCACCCTCCCCTCCTCTTCCTCTCTTCTCTTTTTTCTTTTCTTTTCCTTTCATTTTTTACATCATTGTTCATTTTTAAACAATATTTACTTCCCCCACCCCCTCCAGTGTAGTCCCCATAGAATTTCCTTCACTAATGCACCCGGGCACCATCACCTCTGTCCCCTGTGCTCCTCTCTCCCTCCCTCTGATCCCTCTCCCTTTTCCCCTTTTCAACTTGGATTCAACTCCAAGTGTCTCCTTTATGACTCCACTTGAATGTCCTGAGGCATCTCATCTCCACCATGACAGCTGAGCTTCCAACACAGCCTTGCCCAGTACCAGGCCTGCTCCTCTTCTCTCCCATCTTAGCAGAGGACACCCCCACAATCTTCTCCCTTACTTTCACACGCTGAAGGCCCCAAACAGGGTGTTTCCTCTTTCCCTTTACTCCCTGCCTCTGAGCTGGCCCCACCCTGACTCTCACACATTACAATCTAGGCAAAACATAAAAACATAATTTGATTATGCCTCTTCTCCACTTAAAACTCACCAATGAGTCAATCACTATTGTTAGGATAAAATATAAAATGTTTAATATGGATACCAAGGTCTTTGTTCTGAGGCTCCTGCCTGCCATTCTCCCCTCTCCTACCATGTCCCCTTCACTCACAGCTGTATTTAGAGGAGAGGCAGTTTGGAAGGTAATGGGCAATGTCACAAATCAAATGGCATCAGGATTCAGTATCAATAGTGCCTGGAGCATCCACCCAACAGGTGTTCCAAAGCATCCACTCAACACTGGGTCTAAGAGTGAGACAGGCACAGGCTGCCTGTTTCCTGGATTCTTCCTCCTCCTTTTCTCCCTCACATGCAGGTGAAGAAAAAGCAAGAAATAGCATCCCAATACTTTCAGTGTCTTCTAAAACGACTTCCTCTTCCTCTCCTGCATATAGGGAGCATTTGCAGACACAATCTTCAAACCCCATAAAAATGAAAGACAAATAGCCTGAACTCAGATCTCAGTGGTTGGTGCTTCCTTGGCTGTGTAACTCACTGACTATGACCTTGCGTGGAGAACTTTACGTCAGAGAACCTTGATGTGCTCTACCAGTCTCAAGTGGCTATTAGGAGTATAAAAGAGCTAATGTTAGGGCAGGTGCTTTTTATGCCATAAACTTAAGGACTGCATGGATGTGACTTACTGTACAGCCAAAAGGATAGTAAAATATACCTTCATTTTGCTGTTTTTAACTAAAGGCGCTACTAGCCATTGACTTACAAATTGTTTTTACAGGAAGAATAATGAACAACTTGATATTCTTTCCACTTTAAGAAGGATAGCTAATTATAGATATCCTCAACATGGTAGAAATGACCTAAATTCAGAAATATTTTCAAATCAACAATTCATAGTCAAGATTAACCTACACAGCACTTAAATTATGTGACTATTCTTTAAGTGACTGTTTAGTAATACCTTCCTGGTTATGACATGCTAAAAGCTATGTTTTTTCCTCATAGTTGTTATATACTATTTTCATTAAAAAAATCCTGATTTTCTTAATATGTACCTATAAAACTCAAATGAAATACAAATATAAGAAGTAGCAAGAAAATAGCATGCATAACTATCTTGTACTACAAAATATTATAAAAATAAGCAAATATAATAGTCAATATAATAAGTCCTCCAAGCAGGCATTTAAAAATCTCTTATACATGTGATTGGTTCAAAAGTCTATTTCCAAAAACATTGTAGAGTGTACATTTTTGTTCATGATACATTTCCAGTTTGTCAGATATTAATTGTTTCAGGGAAAATGACTTGCTTATGTCTATTAGGGAAGGCCATGCTTTTCAATTAAGCAACAAGGTTGGAAGTGTCCATTAAGTATTTCCAGTGAGTTTACAATATGTAGAACTACTAAGAAATATACAAATTGTTAGCAATTCTATATAGACACTAGGAAATGATGTGAGGACACATAGTATTTCTTAAATATTACATGGAATGGGGCAAGAAATAAAACCTTACTAGCATATGCTAGTTTTTCAGATTGTTAGTAAATGCAGACATAGTAGCTTCGCAGGGCCATTCATCTGTACTGCCACAAGGAAATTGCCAAGAATAATACTACTAATTTTAAATGCTGGCCCGTCAGCCAGAATGAAGCTGAAATACAGTAACATTGCAAGAAAAGGCAGAAACATGCTAGGAACATTGATTAAACTTTCAGGTTAAATTCATGTGACTTATTACTGGGTAACCCTGGGTTTCTAAATTCCCTTGCAGCCTACATAAACAGAAGCAGTAAGAAGAGCTACTCCTGTTTTATATCGCCATCTAGTGTTTAATGATATCCATGCTCTTTTGTGAATTTGTTTCACAGAGCAACTTGCCCTAATTACCAAATGAGCTGGTGAATATTATTGCAGGCACAGAAGATGAACTAACCTTTGGGCTCAGTTTTCTTTGCATCTTAAAGTGTCTAGATAGTAAAGCAAATCTTGTATTTCATCATCTTTTATCAGCCTGTAGGAAAAATTAAGTAGCATTAGAAGAGCATCTTTTCAATTATTAAAAATGCATAAGGGTTTTAATATTTCTACTGAGTTGCCACTGGTTATTAATTTTTTAAATAGATTTTTTTCTCCTCGTACTCTTATCTTGTCCCACCTACTTTACAAGTCTTCAATACCACCTTTAACTACACTGTTGTGTAATATAAAGCAAAAACAAAACAAACAGTCCAAGTTCTTCTAATGCATTTCTAATGGCAGTAGCAATACACAAGTGGGTCCTGACATCTATACAGTGGATTGTGACCAGTATTTATTTATTTATTTTTTAAAGATTTATTTATTTATTTATACAAGCACTGGGTACAGTCAGAAGTACGGGAGGGTGAGAGAATTCACCAGAGCCAGAGCAGGGAGCAGAGCAGGCAGAAGGACCAAAGTACACTGCTGAGGGGAGCAGCGGGAGGCAGGAGAGGTCTGCGCGCCATGTGGGACCCTCCTCTGGTGGCCAGGGAGCAGCCGGGGATCGAACCGGCACTGCAGAGGCTGTGGGCAGCTTCGCAACCCAGCGCTCAACTGCTGCGCCACCAGGGAGGCCCGTGACCAGTATTTAAAAAGAAAAATCTGGGCCTCCCAAGTGACGCAGGGGATTAAGATGCAACCTATGAAGCTATACGCAGCCACTGCAGCACGTGTTCTATTCCTGGCTGGCCAGGGAGCTACCCACATGGCGCAGCAGACCTCTCCTGACTTGCCCACTGCTCCCCTCAGCAATGTATTTCAGCAGATCCACCTGTTCTGCTTCCCACCCTGTCTCTGGTAAATCCTCTCACCCCCCCCACCTCTGGCCTGTACCCCAGTTCTTGTATGCATAAATAAAGAAATCTTTAAAAAAAGAAGAAAAATCTATTATTTATTTTTTTTCAGCAGTTTCTATAATTGTTTTCCACTTCAGGATTTGACTTATGTGAGATGTCTAAGATAGTTAAGCTTGGAAGTAGGAGTAGTAAAGTAGTGTCTAGGGCCTGCGGGAAGGGAGAGGTGGAAGTGATGTTCAACGTGTATAAAATTTCAGTTATATACAAAATGAATAAGTCTTAGAGATGGGTTTTACCACATGGTGTCTATAGTTAGCCACACTGTATTGTGTACATAAGATTTGTTAAGAGGGTCGATTTCATGTTAAGTGTTCTTACCACACACACAAAAGGATCATTAAGGAAGACTATGAATAAAAAAATACAAAGAAAGAAAAGGAAAGAAAGAGGGAAAGACTAGACTAGAATCCAAAATGTCAGAGTTCTATGTTTGTAGAGAAAGTATAATCTTGTGAAACTTCAGTTACACATGTGTGTGTTTGTGTGTACTGGAGCGTGATAGAAAGGACTTTTCATTTTGTGGGTCAAGTTCAAAAAAGTTGAAAAGCCTCTGCTCTATTGTTCTCAAAAACTTAATCGATAGCTAAGATCCATGTTAATTTTAAATGAATTAAGTTTATTGTATATAAACAAGCTTCTATAATTCCAAAAAAGGCAGTTTGAAATGCCCAGAGGCAGTAAATGTGATAGAATTTGAGGCACATAAATGGGAACTGTGCTTGCACACCTCAACCATTTTTCTCTTTAGAGGAAGACCTGATATGGAAGATGTAGCATGGTGAGGAGCAACTTCTGGAGCAGGACAAACCTGGTTTGTAATTCAGATACATAAACTTGTTAACTGTATATTGGTTTTTCTGAATCTCAGCATTCTGATCTTGAAAAGGAAGCCAGTAATTCTCTCTCTTTTTTTAAAGATCTATTTATTTATGCATACAAGAGCGGGGGTACAGGCCAGAGATGCGGGGGGTGAGAGGATCCATCAGAGATAGAGTGGGGAACAGAACAGGCAGATTGACTGAAATACACTGCTGAGGGGAGCAGCGGGCGATTCAGGGGAGGTCTGCTGTGCCATGTGAGTTGCTCCCTGGCTGGCTGGGGATCGAACTCGTTCTGCAGAGGCTGCGATCTGCCTCATAGAGCGGTGCTCAACCCCTTGTGCCACCAGGGAGGTCTGAAGACAGTAATTCTTATTGCATGAAGTTGTGAGAAGCAAATGGCTAATACAGACTATGTGTCCATTACATGGTAGGAATGTACTAAGTAGCTGCCAAAAAAGCAAGAGGGCCTTCCCCTGTGGCGCAGTGATTGAGCGCTGAGCTGCAAAGCTGCCCGCTGCCTCTGCAGCGCCGGTTCGATCCCTGGCCACCGGCGAGGGTCCCACATGGCGCGCAGACCTCTCCTGCCGCCCCACTGCCCCGCTCAGCAGTGTCTTCTGTCCATCTACCTGCTCTGCTCCCCACTCTGGCTCTGGTGAATTCTGTCACCCTCCCGTGCTTCTGACTGTACCCAGTGCTTGTATAAATAAATAAATCTTTAAAAAAAAACCAAAAAAATGCAAGAGTCACCAATTCACTGACACCATTTACAATAGTTCTTCTCTTCCTTTATGGCCCATGATTTCTACATCGTAGGATCGCAAATATTCTGAAAAGAATTAGAAACCTATGATTGGGCTTGAACCCAATTCAGATTTTTTCCCTTCTTCAGAGCACTCTGGTAAGAGCCTTAACTCTAGATTCTCTTACTCTGTTATCAACGATCTTTTTCAGTATAAATTTCATTGTGTTTTCCTTGCTTGTTATCTGTAACAGGGGTTGCTCATTATTTCCTTCTCAAAGTGGGATGACATCCTGGGGATTTACTACCCAGACATAATGACAACATTTTTTGTGAACAGAGCAGGTCCCAGGAGAAGAGTGAGAACCCCAGCTCCACTTTTTAAAATTGAGGTATTATTGACATAAAACATTAGGGTAACTTCAAGTGCATAACCTAATGATTCCATGCTTGTATGTATCACAAATTGTTCACCGCTATGATTCAAATTCATTTTCTTTCCTATGTATAATATGATATTTTTGCTTATAATGAGGTCTTTTAAGATCTCTTTAGCAACTGTTAAATATACAATAAGGTATTGTTTACTATAGCCACCAGACTGTACATTACATCCCAGGAATTACCTTTTTTTATAATTAGAAGTTTGTACCTTTTGACCCTTTCAACCCATTTCACCCAATCCACCAACTTCTCCCCTGTTATGAATCCAATTCCATTTTCATTCAGCTTGGTATCTCCTTAGTCCCTTTCTGCTTCTTTTATATTTTTCCCCAAATTGCTGCAGCCATATCCGAGAGGAAACTGAATTGACAAACTATTGCTAAAAATAACATTTATCTTGCCTCTTCAAGTGAGTGTCCTGATGAAGAAATAAGATATGCAAGCTTGAAAACAATGGTGCTATACAAACATCATATGTTGTTTTACATTCTGAATCAACTCAACAGTAATGGGGTGATGGAATAATGTTTGGATAGCAGTCATGTAGTGAGACTGCTTAGAGCTGCCACTAACCAGCTGTGTGTGAGCTTAGAATAATTATCGTACTGTTGGATAACTTTCCATCTTCAATTGTGGAAATTAGTTCATTTTATTCACAAAGTTCTTTAAGAATCAAAATATGTAATGCACATAGAACACATAGATGGTGCTCAGCCATCACAGAAATTGTGACAACGGTATAGCAAAGACTGAGATGTGAAAAACACCTTTCACTACCATGACAATGTCCTGGTTAGAGTTCAGACTGGAGGACAGTCCTTTTGTGGGAAGATGTGTAACCCACAGATGAATCCTCAGAGAGAGGCAGGGAAGGAGAGTGGGTTGGCATAGCTGGTCACCGGGTTGTTGGGGCCTGGGCACCTCTGGGTTCAGTGTCATTTCTGTTATGCAAATGAGCTGAGAACTAGAACTAGAACTGACTGGAAACTGACTTAGTGGTGGGTCTACTTGGGGCTTGAGCTTTCAAACAGGAAGTAGCAGGTGCTGTTGGAAGATCCTTGACAAGGCAGATGGGTTCCCCCAATGGTGGCACCTGCCACTGGTCATCAAGACCTTGTAGTCCCAGAAACCAGCTGAACAGTGTAGCACAAGAACCCAAGACTTGTCTAAGGACATACCAATCAGAATGATTAGTGATGAATATATTTGGACAAACTGGAAAAAGATGAAAGACACAATCAGTCAATTCAGGCTAAAGTTAGCTTGATTTGAATGGAACTGGGTGAGATAGAGAAGGGCATGTCCTGCAGGATCCGCTATTTTCAGGCAGCTGCTGAGACAAAGGAAAGCTTAGTCTTGGGTAAGATGGACAATGGGGTGGGAAGGAATAGCACAAGGAGGCAGGTTCTGAACGGTGCTGAGAATTTTGCCACTGGGCTCATGAGCTATGTCAGCTTGAATCATCCTTAAATCATCTTTCACCACCAGCATTTGATTCTAACCATATTGAATGGGGCTTACCCTAGAATAAGACCAACAGGTAGGAGAGGAGACATTCTTAACCTTCTTCAAAGACAAGGATCAAGTATTGCCAGTATATTCTACTAATCAGTAATCCTAGTGATTCCTGTAAGAGCTGCACTTTTGCTCACTGCTTTGTTATCCCTTTTCAACTTCCCTGACTAGTTTGCAAGGTGAGTATGCTTGGTTGGATCAGCCAGTCTCAGGATACCTTAGCTAAAATGCTAACCATCTCTGAGTCTGAGGTTTTTGCCTTTGTGCCTACATGTGTTGTCATGTAGACTGAGTGATGGAGTGGATATAGAACATTTAGCATGTAGTCAGCAGTTAATAAATTATTAGTAGTTTTTTTAAAAATTTTTAAAAAGATTTATTTTTATTTATACAATAGCTGGGGTACAGGCCAGAGGCGCGGGAGGGTGAGAGGATTCACCAGAGACAGAGTGGGGAGCACAACAGGCAGACAGAAAGCACTGCTGAGGGGAGCAGCGGGCGTGGCAGGAGAGGTCTGCCGCACCATGTGGGAATCTCCCTGGCCGGCTGGGAATTGAACCAGCGCTGCAGAGTCTGTGGACAGCTTCACAGCGTTGCGCTCAACCAGCTGCATCACTGGGGAGGTCCAGTTAGTTAGTTTTTTTAGGTATGTTTTAAGGAGATTTTTTTGTCTTGGAATTCCTGCATCCCATGGGAAGAACAAGGTAGCCAGAGGAGGGTGAGTGGAAGAGGCACACAGGCAAATCTCCCTGCTCTTTAAGAAAAGAAGCTCAAAGTTGTCTTCTAGAGAAAAAATAATCAGAGGTAGAAAGACATGTTTTTACTTGAAAAGTGAGAATTTATGTCACCTAAATTTCCCTGTTCAGAAATAAAAAGACCAAAAAAAACCACCATAGCCCAATAAACCACAAAAAAACAGTCAAACCTTTAAGAATGGAAGGCAAAGGAGGAAGAAGGAGGATGGAGATACCAAGGGGAGAATGGTGAGAAAAGTGACTTTGAGACCCTGAACCTATAGGAGAAGTTTCCACTTTGATGGCTTATTTGAGCAAATGTTGCTTAAAGTAGAGGAAACAACCAGGAAATTCAGAAAAATAGGGCAAATAGGATGAGTGAGAGAGCCACACAGACCACGGGCTGCAGAGGTATGTGCAGATGAAGGCAGTTCCACGAAAAGTACAGGCTCTAAAAAGGCATGTAGAATACCTGCAGTTACAATTTTGTGAAACGTGTCCCCACATTAATAATAATTAGAGGACATTTTGACAACAAAATGTTCAGTCAAGATTTAAAGGTACTTAAACCCAGGATGGAAAGTTTACAAAACACTATGAAATAATTTAAAATAATTTTAACTCATTTCAGATGACTTTGTATTGTTTATTAAACTCCTGTGCTATCCATTATGACATAAATGTTCCCTCACCAAGTTTTTACCTAGAAAGGCAACAACTGACACATTGATAATCACAAATAGAGACACGCAGGCTGTCAGTGGGACTTCTCTGCAGGTCTTGGGCAGCCGGGGATCGAACCGGCGCTGCAGAGGCTGCGGGCAGCTTCGCAACCCAGCGCTCAACCACTGTGCCACTGGGGAGGCCCAGGTCCTGGATTTTTAAATGATTCCCATCTGGGTGTCCCAAATCTAGCCTACTTTATAAACCTGTAATACTCTACATTTCTACAAATGTGGCACTAGACCCACCATATTACAAATTCCTCTTGACTTGCTTCCTTTTCCCTTGGACGACAAGCTGAAAAGGTAGATGGCAAATACTTATTGAGTTGATGAATTCAATAGCAATTTATTGGTTGCTTGCTCAGTGATTGGTAAATACTTTTCTAAGCACTGGGGATGTAGCAATGAACATAAGGGCAAAAGGAATCCCTGATTGTTGATCATTTGTTTTAGTGGAAGGAAAGTAAATGTCTGTAGTCAAATGGGGATAAGTTCTACTAACAAAAATGAAGTGAAGAGGGGTGGGGAGTTCTAGGGTAAGGGGAGAGCAGAGGCCTGAACAGGAGCAGAGGTGAGCCCTCTGGACACGGGAGGCACTCCAGGCTGAGGGCACAGCCCTGCACACTGGGTATGTTCTGGGAGCTGGCAAGAGACCAGAATGACTGGAATGGAGACAATTAAGAGAGTAGATAGAGATAGGTCAGAGAGTTTGCAGATTGTATAGGACCTAGCTAGTAGTCCCCATAAAGAATTGATCTTTTATTCAGAATGAGTTGGGAGTTAATGGGAAGTTTGAATAGAGACTTAAGATGATCTTGCTTTTTCATATTAAAAGGATCACTTGGCTGTGGGAGTGAAAATTGACATAAGAAATAAAGAGCCAAGCAGCAAATACATCAGGCTATTGTAATGGTCCAGGCAAGAAATAGTGATGGCTTCACATTAGAGCGAGAGGCAGGTCAGGGTCTGGATTCACAGAGTAGGCTGTGATAGGGCAAGAGAGAGAGGCAGGCATGACTCCAGGCAACTGGGAAGGTGGAGCTGCCTTGGGCTGTTGAGCAGAGCTTTGGTGTGTGAAGACCACAAGTTTGGTTTTAGACATATTAAATTAGACATATCTGTCTTTTTTATGTTGAACTCTCCATCAATTGGAGTGCAGGTGGTTCTTTTGCAGTGTTACCATCTGACAGAAACTGAGAGCTTCTCTAATAGTCCAAAAGGAACCGAAACCATGGGAGGGGCTGGAGAGGAGTTATTCATGAATTTTGTTTAAAAACATAGTGAGGCAGATTTACATCCTACAATACATTTTCCTTCAGCAACAGATACAACAAAAGATCTTCAACAGTCAGCCCAGGGCCATTAGTGCTCAGGGTGCAGGAACTTGGATTAAGGTAAATGTGAAGGAAACTTGGAAATATCAGACATACCTGCATGTACTTGCTGAGTGTTCTAGGTCTTATGCTGATCTGTCTCCTGATACAGAGCAGTTTCTCTAGTCAGTCACACAGGCCATTGTGTAGGTCACAAGGGGCAGCTTGTTCGTTGCCTGTCAAGTGCTGGGCTCTTATCCCTGAGCTCCTTTCCTCCTCTCCTATAAGGCAAATCCACAGTACCAGGCATTATCTGGGGCCATCACCCCATCCCTGCACCATGTGGGTGAAAGGGAAGTGAACATAAATATGTTAATGCTGTTTGCTGTACTGTTAGTGATAAAGTCATTTGTCTCAGACCCAGAAGACTTGTGTCTTCTGCCAGCACCCAAAACAGTGACAAGATGACTTCTTAGTGTAAAATGGATAAAATTTCAGAACTTTCACATTTCTTGATAGTTTTAAGCTATCTCAAAGGACTTCTGGGTAGTTTGGGATGAAACAGAAAGGAACCGGCAGAAGCCCCAGTAGAGATACACTTTATTTTCTTCTGGGAACTTGGCTTCAGAATGAAGTAGTTGATGGGGCAAAATGAAGAAAACTGACTCCATGGAGCTGAAAGACTTAGGCTAAATTCCAATTGATGTTCCTTTACTCAACACACAGTGACAAATGTGAGTCCTTTTGATGCCCCCTTAGGATTGAGCAAAGGGTGCGGACAGGCAGAAGGATCATTTTGAGGGCAAAGGTGGTGGAAAATGGCTGCTGAAAACAAAAGGAATCCTAGACCACTTTTGCCTTGTGTCCAGGTAATCAGGACACAAATTATGAAGGACCTTTACTTTTAAAAGTATATTTATTTACGTTTTTTAAAAAGATAAATATTTAAGACTGGTTAGGTTACCCATTCACATCACTGTTCTGGAAGCCACATCTTTCCTCTGTGAAACCAATATTCAGAGAAAGCCCATTGTCAGACACCCAGGGCAAGTGCTGGGGGGCATACAAAGTCCAAGAAGAGTTATTGATTGTCTAAGAGACCTCCAGAAAGGGAGGGGGCATCATTTCAGTAAGTTTCAACCTTTTAAAAGTGCATAGTACTAATTTAATAATGTACTGAATTCATGCAGTATTGCAAATCTTTATATTATTTGCAATGTAATTCCTTCTTGCTATTGGATTTCATCTTCGTGAGCTGCCATCACTGATGAAAATAAGAAAGTGTGATGTTGGGTGTCTGGCTACAGCAACACGAACAGCACATGGATTAACAGCTAGCACAGCGATTGGTTTGAATGAGGTATAGTGAAATCTCATTTTGTCACCAGTGACTTGATAAATGGCTTATCCAAAGCTCCCAATAGCTTCTGCCAACCCCTCTGACACAGCAAAATTGTTCTTAGAAGGATAAAGGAGGCAGCTGGAATGGCACATTGTGATGAATTGTTGGCACAAATAAGTTGATGTTGATCTAATCTGTGCGTGTGTTCTTTTTCCCTAAGAAAGTAGGAAATAATTGGATCCCTTTAATGCCTCTAACTCTACTTTCATCCCCAATAAATGAGAAAATGGAAATGTAGAGTTGCCAGAAGCCACTTTGATAAAGGTAGGAAACTCTGACTTCTATACATACATGGTACTTTTATTTTAGTGTGCTGAGTACTTAAACAAAAATCTTTATCTCCTCCTTATAAAGTAGTCAGCCTTTTTACAGCTTGCAAAATTCTTATATTCCAGGTGTTTATATAAATGGAGGCAGAATTTCTCAAACTGAAATCAAGATAACTGACATCCAAAGTAGATTCTAGATATTTCCATCATTTCTTTGCTTTCATGTCATACAACAAAAAAATACAATAATCATAAGCAGTCTCTGAGTCACAACTCCTATAATAGAATTGGTGAATTAATGGAAGTTTCCATGTCATTTAAAAATGAAACCTAATACACATGCTTATTGTTCTACAGCAGGGATTTTGTGCGTAATCACTATCTGCCTGAATCCAAAGATAGAAAGATAATTACTTTCTTCCCCAGGGGATGGTCTGTTAAGAAAAACATTTTGGATTTTGTTGTGGTAAAAACAGCATTAGGGTTAGAAAGGAAAGGAATACCTCTTTTCCAGTGTTTTTGGGAAGGGATGGACTGAAAGCTTGAAGCAGCATTTGGCTCAGGATTTTTGAGTAGATAATTTTTCCCGGCTCTCTGAGCCCTCTCTGTGGGTCCTAGACTTCCCTAGGTTCTGGGACTGGGCAACCTACAGGGCTATATTTCAGACAACCTGGATGGCAAAGCATCAGCTTTCTATCGAGAGGACTCTATCTGTGCATCATCTGCTCCTGGACACCGGGTCTTCTAATCGCAGCCCCCTGCGCACGCTGACACTGGAAATGGGCTGGTTGAATTGAGGTGTGTTGTAAGGTAAAGCCCAATTCTGGTTTTCCAAGACTTAGGTGGACAAAAAGGCTATAAACCATCTCACTCATTTTTACAATGATGGCATGTCAAAATGATTAATTTTTTTGCTATATTGAGTTACATAAAATATATATTTTTATTTTATATACATATTTTATTATACATGAAATATATATTTTATTAAAGTTGACTTCACCTGATTTTTTTCACTTTAAAAATGTGGCCAGTAGAAAATTTCTAATAGATATACTTGTATTGGTAAGCACTGCTTTAGAAATTCAGACCAATGGGATGAATGCATGTCAGAAAAGGGAGGAGTCTGAAGAAAGAAATAAAATGTGTTTCCCTTTCTCCCTTCTCTAGATCTAGAGGGATTTAGTGAAGAAAAAAAATCTCAGAATTTTAGAGCTAAAGGTATCATTAGAATTGATGTAGTCTGATTGCTCTCAAACCAGAGAACTTAGGGGTCTTGGAAAATAATTCATAGATGTAGAGAGGTCTTTGAACTGGACCTGGCCTGAAAAGCAATATCAGAATTGAAGAAAGCTGATTTGTAGATTAGGAAGACAACCTTAATGCTGTTAGAAAAGAAAGGAGGCCACTGGGCGCTAGGCAGTGAAGGATTTTACCATGGGCCTGTGTGTGCTCTCTTCAAGAGGGATCACATGACTTCAGGGTGCGCAGCTAGTTAGTGGGGAACCAGATATAGGACCAGGTCCTCCCCAGACACAGTTTACTCTCTGATAGCTATGGAAATGCTTTTATTATTATTTTTTAAATAACAGGGAGAGATACATTCCACTCTTTTATGTCCAAAAATATGTCAGTTTATTGGAAAGTGGTATTGGAGGAAATACAAATATCAAGTTTAGTTTACTTTCACTCAACTGCTATGAAATGGTCATAATTTCCATTTTCCTTGCCACCTTGACAAACTTTTCTAAAAATTAATTTTGATATTTTTCTCTCTGCACCCATGTACGATCCAAGGGAATATATTTCTTTTCTAGATTCCTCTCTTCAAATTCACAAATTCCCTCTAAAGATACAGACCCTACCAAACCTGTAGGGTAAATGGTTTTTCAGGCTTGTGTGCCCTCCCGCCATTAGGATTGCCTTGCCTATGGGGCACCTGCAGTTGTTACATTGTTGCAAACTGACTCATTTACCTTGGTGTTCATGGGAAGAGGGGAGGGAGGGGAGGGAGGGGAGGGGGAGGGAGGGGAGGGGGAGGAAGGGAAGGGGTGGGGAGGAAGGGGAGGGGGCAGGGGGAGGGGAGGGGGGGAGGGGGAGGGGTGGGGAGGGGAGGAGGGGGAGGGGGAAGAGGAGGTGGGGAGAGGGGGAGGGAGGGCAGGAGGGGAGGGGAGGAGGGAAGGGGAGGGGAAGGGGAGAGGATGGGAAAGGGGGCAGGGGGAGGGGGAGGAGAGGATAAAAGCAGGAGGAGAGAGGCAGGAGAGAGGGGGAAAAAGAGGCTGAGAAGCCCAGGGTAAAGACTTGGGCAGGGGGGCTGCAGCCTGCTCCTCCTGGCACCCCTGCTTGCTATGTATCTGGTTGCTGCTCTATATGTAACAGCTCAATAAAACCTGAGAAGCCACCCGAGAGTTCCAAAGACTCACCTTTACCCGTCTGCTGGATCATAGAAACCTGCTCAGTGCCATCCTGCTCCTATAACTACCCCAAGTCTTGTCTTCAGCACTGTTGCTTGTGAGACATGTGTAGCAGCCATGTCTATGGTCCTGGGCAGCTAACACAGCTGAGAGCCAGGCCTGACCGTCCTTCTGGTAAATGCCTAGAGCTTTCTTCTATAAGAGCACCATTTCCTCAAAAAAAATAGAGCATTCCTGGAATGTGCTTATTCCCTTTCAGACTTCCTATCTGTTTCTTTTGCTGTAGTAGATGAAGCCTGGGGTGGACAGCTGGCTGATCTGCACAGCATTCCTGGTCCAAGGAAGGGATCCATCCTTTTGCTCAAGCTTTGACTCCTAGGGCAATCGTGAAACTGACTAATGATTAAAGGAAACAGTTCTCTACTTCTGCTGTCGCTGTCCACTCCGATGCTTTAGGATTATTAAATATAGCTAGAACTATTAGCAGTCTTTCGGAGACTCTGAACCCATGGGCATGATCTCTGTCTCTACTAAGAAGAAAAATAGATTTTAGAATCTTTGTGAGTTCTTTCCAGAAGAAAGATATTATGAGGAAAGAATTGATGCTTTTCAGGGGAGTGTTTCTGTTCGTTTGGTGACTAACTGCATTCTTCTGGCTAAGTGTAATGATTTAAAATTATTATGTTGTGTAACCAAAAGATGGCAGTGCTCACTCTTCCTGTTCTGTTTTAAGGACAAAATGGAAAGGTTATCTTGGTCTTACTCCTTTTTCCTTTACTCACCATAAATGAAAATAGCAAAAAAACATGGGAAAATAAAATATATCCTGAGTCTCCTTTTCCAAATTACTAGTAATAACACTAGTAATTTGATACAGACAGACATCCTGAAAGAGATATATCATTTATTTTCTTTTATGTACTTGATTTAACATTTCTCAGGTCAATGCATATGTTTCTAAAACAAGCATCAACACTGGATGTTTGTTTCTATTTTTTCAAAGATTTATTATTTATGCACACAGGAACTGGGGTACAGACCAGAGGTGTGGGGGTGGGGTGGGGAGAAAGATTCACCAGAGACAGAG